CTGCTGAAGCATATTAGTGTCTGAAAAGCAGTTAGGCTAATCATAGCCTGAGGCTACTAGGCCAATGCTATATCAATTGAATATTTATTGAGCAATGACCCCTTTACTTGATTCGCTAATATATTGCAGCAAGAAGCACAATTAAAGCAAGTCTTATAAACAGAGGTTATCTTTAGACTGCTGAGGAAATTAAAAATACACTACAAATCAAATAATTCTATTTGTTTTTATCATTTGCTACTATATAATTCACCGTTAAACGGAATGTTTCTCACACGCAATTTGTAAAAGGTGTTAAAATCTCTTTATTAACAAAACCTCTGCTTGTTTACATTATAAATTAGACTATTTCTTTGGTCTAGCACTAAAACAGTACATTAGCTTTTTTTGTGGACTCCTGACAGGTCCATTAACCCAAAGGCCCAGGAGAAATCGCACTGCATTAAGGGATATTTTGCAGTAAATCTAAATCATAGCAAAAAGCTCAGTAGTAAAAGTCCAGAGTGTTTAAATAAGAGTAAAATATACTGTGGGCGGTCAGTAATATAAATAGATTTAGTAAATGTGTTCCCTGTCTTCTCTTTGACAGGTTTATCAATGCTCGAAGAAGAATCGTGCAGCCCATGATTGATCAGTCTAACAGAGCAGGTAAAGTGATGGCTTACTTTTTACCATCTTTACAATCACTATATACACAATTTGTGCATGTATCACATATGTTGTGTTTTTGTGTGTTTAGTAACTCAAGGAACCGCTTACAGTCCTGATGGTCAGCCTATGGGCGGCTTTGTGCTTGAGGGCCAACAACACATGGGTCTCCGGCCTAGCGGTATGTTGCACTTTGATTATAATCGCACGTTAGACATTTTAGTGCTGTTATAAAAATGCTGAAAGCATTTGCATGTGTTTTATTGTTCTTTAATTTTGTGTCTCCGTCTCGCAGGTCCCATGGGAGGAATGGGTATGAACATGGGTATGGATGGACAGTGGCACTACATGTAAACGCCTCCCCGCTTCCCAAACCATAAACGTAAGGAAACGCTTTGGTACTTTGGAACATCCCCTCTCTTTCTCCTTTCCCTCGGCGTGTGAAATCTGATTATGGTGGCAATTCGCTCTCCGACGACCCCCCCTCACACACACACGCGCACGCACCTTCTTTCCCCGGCTCCATCTTCGCTGCCTGTCTCTGACAGTCCACAAATCAAGACGTATCGCCCGCCGCGGGCGGCCTGGCATGGAGAATTTTATTTAATACCCACACTGTGCTGCCCAATGAGCCCCTCCATAATGACACTTACCTTGATTAATAGAGCTCTTTATATGTAAATAGGCACCGCATCCAGTTCTCCAATC